TGCGCCGCTCTTTATACCCGTCGGCCACCCCACTCTAAGACTAGCTTGGAGGGGGCCGAGTGACGGGTGGGGGCGAAAAGGCGGATTCCCAACGTGTTCGTGTGGTGGCCCCGAAAGGGGCCGTTTACATGAGCGCGGGCGACTAGTGACGGCTAATCGGGTCGTCACAACATGTTACAGACCTGAGCGCACCACGCTCTTCTACACTGTAAAGAAATTAAGTAAATTTACACAAATAATAAATTAAAAAATTATATGATTAGTTCTGTAAATTTTAAAAATTATAAATTTTACAGAAATTATGTAATTCCACAAAAAATAAATAAAATTCTCTTATTGTATAATATATTTAATCTTATATGAAAAATTACGTAATTGATAGAATATTTTAAATATTTTATATAATTATCCAATTTTTGTAATATTATAGATGGTATATAGTGATGATAGTGAATTTATATACTTATTGTAAATTTATTACCGCAATCTGCTTAATTACAAATTAAAAATTAATTACATATTATAAATTTACAAACGTGTTAAAATTTACAACTATTATAGTTGGTCTTAGAATTACCCACTATAACCAGCAAACACAAAGTAACAGTAGTATAACATTAATATTTCCTTAAGAGTTTAGGCAAGGCTCTGTAATATAAATATAAATTTAACGTATAAGACAGGCAATAAGAGCCAATCGCGGATGACAATGCGTTATCCTAACAAAACTAAATTATTTTTTTCGTTAGAAATAAATACCGGTGCACAAGGCACCAAATTTTACTTGGACACGGCCAAGATTTTTAAAATATGAAATAATCTCATATTTGAGATTAAGGGGTTATAACACCTTTGAGGGTCAAAAAAATTCAAAATTTTTTTTTTTGCTTAAATGATACTTTGGAATGTATAGAATATAATTTTATTCATCTAGAGTCGGTCTGGAACTTTTTCATGTACGAAATAGCCATGTTTGTACGCGGCGCCATAGCGCGCGGAGAGAACCTGGGAGCGCTCTCTGAGTTCTGCCTTTCTACTTCAACTATCGAGTAGTTGAGAATTTAGTATAATATTGTAGATGTCTCTTGTGACCATTTCAACAGAAAACAGTATATTCCTATCATATAATACTTTATTTTATGCCAGAATCGCATTGCAGATTAACGGTGAGCTCCTAATAATTACAAGTTTTCTCGTTGCAAAACTTTAAATGCGATTTCTGTAAAACACCATTTTTCAAATCGGTGGCCAGCTTAGCTCCCACAATTTACATCGGATTAACTTGAAACAAAGCTTATTCTGCGCTAAATTAAATTGTTTATCGAGGTACGTAGCCGTTTTTTAATAGAATTGTTAGTTTTTTTTTGGGAACCAATTTTATAAACGATTTTCAGTGAAAATTTTTATACTTTTTTTTCAAATTAGTGTAAATTCCACAAAAATTAATATTTTTCAAAAATCCTACGTACCTCGATGGAAAATTTATCAGAGAATATGAAAACTTTTCATTTTTGTTCTATGTCATACCAGTAAGCCGGAATCCTGGCCACCGATTGGACCGGAATAGCGCAAAGGGTCATCTTTGGCGCCATCTACAGGATATTCTTCAAAGATTTTTTTAATTTAAAAAATAATTTTTATAACTAGAAACTATAATAAAATCAACCCTCAAACCCGTTTTTTGATTACTCTATTCCTTAGATGTGAAAAAAATTAATGAAAAAGAGGAAAAATTTCTTACGCAAAGGTGTTATAACCCCTTAATTTCAGCCTTGCTAAACTCTTAATTTATACACGCTGGCTTAAAGGCGTTTGTTTACCAACATTAATATATATAACAGAGAAAAGTATAGAATCGAAGGAATCTGAATAGCTCAGATGGAAGAGCAGTCACCCGGCAAGCGAAAGGTCTCGGGTTCGATTCCCGATTCAGCGACTTTCGGATCTATATTTTTCTCTTGCATTCATTTATTTATCTCCGTAGGAGGGTTAAAGGAGTATTGAAATTAAATCTCAAATATGAGATTATTTCATATTTTAAAAATCTTGGCCGTGTCCAAGTAAAATTTGGTGCCTTGTGCACCGGTATTTAATTCTAACGAAAAAAATAATTTAGTTTCGTTAGGATAACGCATTGTCATCCGCGATTTGGCTCTTATTGCCTGTCTTATACGTTAAATTTATATTAATATTTCCATCAATTTCCTATTCAACAATATAAGTGTTATGTACAAAGCATATTACATTACAGTTACATTGTTGAGTATTAAAACATTAATGTTATGTTACTGTTACTTTGTGTTTGCTGGGAATAGGTGTAATTTTACACAAAAATTTTTTACAGTGTAAACGATATTATTGGCAATCTTTGATTACTTATAACTCGAAAACTATTGCAGCTTCGATATTTTCGTATTAAGATTTTTATTCTATTTTATTTCAAAAATATATTTAAAAAAAATATTAGAAGATAGTTGTGCACACTTTGTATATATATGTATGTATATATATATATATATATGTATGCATGTATGTATATGTATATATATTGTACATATATACATATATACATATAATATGTAAGAAAAAACAAAATTACAATTATATTATAATAAAATATATATCAATATAGATTATATACTTGGATGGTGTACAAGCTAAACCGCCAAAGGTGGCATTATACAACAATGGCAATATACCATTTGAGTTACAAATTTTAATAACACAATAATTTCGACATTAAGCAAATACAATGAAAATTCATCAAATTCAGATCCAGAAAAAATTAAACTTTGTGATGTATTCAATACCTCAAATCGCATCTGTAGGTTTCATATATTATACACAAAAAGAATATTTCTAATAGTTACATATACAAATAGAAATATTAAATATAAAGAAACATCTCTTGTATAATATATATAAAATTATTATATTTCATTATTATATATTCTTATATACCTGTTTTTCATTGGTATATGTATGTGTGTGTGTGTGTGTATTATATATATATTTTTTACAGTATTAGAAGGATATATCAAAACTAATTTAAGCAGTATACATAATAACAAATTGAATAAAATCATTAGATGCGGATCATTAACGGACGGTGTTTATAAATTAGAAGTACACATTGTTAATTTTGTAGAAGATGATTATTACGAAATGGATATCCGAAAGGGTGACAAAATAGAAATTATTGGAATGATGAGCAATACAGGTATACAATATTACATAAATCAAAATATATTAATTTTTTTTAATTATATATATAAACCAATACAAACTAAGAAATAAAATTTCTCTCTCACAAAACCATACACCTGCCCATATGCCCATCATTTCACACACACGCATGTACGTACATCCGCATCTTCATGTACATATAAACACATACATATCCAAATTCATACCCACATACATATCCACACACTCCACACATATGAACACACACGCTTGTACACATGCACCCACGCAAATTTATAAAACAACATGCTTGTACACTCATACAAATACTCACACGTTTGCATACACACATACACATCGCATATTCACATACATGTTCATATACATGAATTCATATTCACACACACGTCCACACATGCGTTAGCATACACGCACACACACATTCACATGAATTTATTCTTATACTTATAAAATTTTCTCTCTCTTTATTTTATAATTAATCTGATATTATACATATCACATATATTATATGTAAATACAAACTTTATATCATTGTAATGATATTTTATTACTTCAGTTAAAAAGATTTAATAAAATATAATACTACTATACCAAATATTATATTGATGTGTGTATTTCAAGAGAGAAAATTTTACGTACGTATCAATTTTCAACAAATTTTTTATAATTTATTTTTTAGTTTTTATTGGTTCATGCATTAAATAAATAATATGTGTTCACGAACGCGCTGCGTGAGCAAAGGATCGCGCTGCACGAAAGGATGAGTCACTTTTTTGTAAAACAAGGACTTTAATAATATCACACACGTATTGACAAAATACTATAACAAACTTATTACAAAACTTTAATTATTTTACAGTGAAATCGGAATCAAAATCAAAGTGCGGAATAGCGGCGGTCGACAACGAATTTTGCGGTGTATCTAATAAGCGGTTGCGATATGTTTTCACGACGGAAAAGCGATAAAGCTCACAAGCGGGGTGTGAGCTCCTCTTTTATAATTTCCGGAGCGGAACCCACCTTCGTGTGAAGCGCCAATAATTTTGCGTCTTTTTAAAGTTGCGCGAGGTGACCTGAGCGTATTACGCGTAATTGGCCGCTGTCAAAATTGACAGAACAACGGCTGTTAGAAAGCATGCGCGAGCTGGCGATCACGATGATTATTGGCGAAACGAGGCGCCCGTGAGAAGCCGCGCATGCTCAATAAAATATAATTATTCGGCGGAACGGTTTCGACACCGTTAATTGTTTATATTTCGAGCGTGTTTTTGTACGACAGGATAATTTGTGTCGCGATATGTTTTCCAAAAAAAAACATATAAAAACGATATGCCTGTTGATTTGCGATCGGAAGCGAATATTCTAGAATATTCTATTTAAGATATAATATTTTATTACACATGTAGTTTTCTATTATGCGTTTCAAACATTCCCGCCCGCCTTGTCGCGCAGTGACAACATGTTTGTGGTATTTCGGTCGCGGAATCGCAAGTCGATAGTGATCGATGGTGGGGCAGGCGCGCCGGCGCGGCGAGATTCACGTGATGATCGCGTGTAATTTGAATCGATCAGCTGAGCCGCGGAAACACGTGGTGATCGCGTGGAATGTGATGATCAGCTGAGACAGTAACGAGTGTGTGTTTGATGTGAAATGACGAACGTGTAGTGCAGTGTGGTGATTATGGAACAATTGCAAGTGCGGTGGTGCATGATGAGAATGAGGTGTGACAAATGATACAGTGCATGATGTGATAAATCTCGTGAATGAGTGTCGAACGTTGATGAGTGATGTGTTACGTGCCGGCGGACGGCGTGTCCGCGTTATTCGTGTCCGGAATACGATCCGCGCCCGGGAGCATGACCAATTTAACGATCGGGCGTACGAATTCGGATGTGGCGGTGCGTACTGAGACCACGCGGACGACACCGTCGTCCCCGGGATGCAGTCTCGTGATCCTTGCAAGAGGCCATCGAGTCGGAGGGGTGAGCTCCGAGCGGATGATGCAAAGGTCCCCGACGTGAGGTGCGGCCTCGGCCTTGACCCATTTGGTGCGGGGGTTGAGCCCGTGCACGTACTCAGCCGACCACCGCTGCCAAAAATGGTCTCGCATCAGCTGCAGGTGATGCCAGCGTGACAGCGTGGATGATGATTGTCCGATCCGTGACGGCTCAGGTATAGCTAATAGAGGCGCGCCGATGATGAAGTGCCCTGGAGTGAGTGCTGAAGTGTCGTCTGGATCGTCTGACAGAGCCTGCAACGGACGAGAATTAAGACACGCCTCGATTTGTGTGAGGAGTGTGCTAAGCTCCTCAAAAGTGAGCGTGGTGTCGCCGATTACTCGGCGGAGGTGAAATTTCGTGGATTTCACGGCAGCCTCCCAAAGACCACCGAAGTGAGGGGCCGCTGGCGGATTAAAATGCCAGCGGATCCCTTGAGTGTTGGCGGCGCGGGCGATGTGAAGGCCCTCGGAGGTCGACGCCTTGAAGAGCTCCCGCAGGGTGCGATCGGCGCCAACGAATGTTGTGCCGCAGTCGCTGTAGACGTCCGTACACAGTCCTCTGCGAGAGACGAAGCGGCGTAAGGCGGCGATGAAGGCCTCGGAGCTGTAATCCGAGACGACCTCGAGGTGGATGGCCTTCGACCAAAAGCAGACGAAGACCGCGATGTATCCTTTCTGTGAGCGGTGTCCGCGTCCTTTGCTGGTCCGGATGGAAATTGGTCCCGCGTAGTCCAGTCCAGTGCTCAAGAAAGGTCGAGTTGGCGTCACTCGGTCCCGAGGAAGGTGGCCCATTGGAGGCTGTGGCGTGGCAGCGCGCCAGCGAGTGCAAGTGACGCACCGATGCAGTTGCTGCTTGACGACGGTCCTTCCGCGTGGTACCCAGAATCGAAGGCGAAGCAGACCGAGTGTCATCTGGACGCCGCCGTGCAGAGAGCGACGATGGCAGGACTCGATCAGCAGTCGCGTCATCCAGGAGGCCGGCGGTATGATCACCGGGTGCTTCTCGTCGTAGGGCAGCAGTGCGTGTTTGAGACGTCCTCCAACGCGCAGTACACCTTGGTCGTCGATGAACGGATTCAGCTTGATCAGTGAACTGCGTGGTGGGCCGGAGCGTCCTGCGGTGGCAGCAGCTATCTCGTCCGGGAAGTGGAGCGCCTGTACTACTCGAAGCCACTGGAGTAGGGCGGCGTCCAGCTCGTCGGGGTGTAGTGGACAACCAGGTGTGACCTCCCGGCTCGCCACGTTGAGCCATCGACGACACCAAGCCGTAACGCGTAGCAGCCGATGAAGCGCAGAGAACCGAAGAAGGATGTCCGGTTCGACGACGACGGAGCCCTTGGTCATCAGGCTGGTGGTGCGCTGTTCAGGAAGGTCATCCTCTGCGATGTGGACCTCTGAGCTGGGCCATGCTGTCTCGTCCAGTGCCAACCAGGTAGGTCCAGTCCACCATAATGCGTGGTTGATTAATTCTCCAGGAGTAATTCCTCTCGATGCGCAGTCTGCAGGATTATTCTTCCCGGCTACGTGTCTCCATCGAGCGTCCGGGAGCTGTGTCTGGATATGAGCTACCCGGTTGGCGACGAAAGTTTTCCAGCGAGTGGCGTGTCCCTGGATCCAATGAAGCGTGACCTGGGAATCGGACCACAGATATACTGGAGTAGTTGCCAAGCCGAGAATGTCGCGGACATGCAGCGTGAGCGTGGTGAGTAGGCTAGCAGCGCACAACTCAAGTCGCGGCAACGAAACCTGCTTGACGGGTGCGACCTTGGATTTCGCCATGAGTAGATTAATTGACGGTTTTCCCCTTTCAGTGGTGCGGAGGTAGACTACTGCGGCGTATCCTCGTTCGGAAGCATCAGCAAAACCGTGGAGCTGCAACCTCGAGTGATCGTTGTCGGTGCTGAGCCAGCGATTCACGCGTATGTGCCTGAGCAGCGGCAACTGATCCAACAGCTGTTGCCAATGTCGAGCATCCTTGGCCGGCAGTGGAGCGTCCCAATCAAGTTGCTGAAGCCAGGTGCTTTGGATTAGGATCTTCGCCCGAATGACGACAGGCGCGAGCCAGCCCATCGGGTCGAATAGGCGTGCAGTTTCGGAGAGGACTCGTCGCTTCGTGAATTTGCTGACTGGCCGAGGATGTATTGCGAAGGCAAACCGGTCATCTTGAGGACGCCATCGCAGGCCCAATGTCGAATGGCTCTCTCCTTCCCAGGAATGTGGTCCTTGCTGCAGCCGATGCTCCTGTGGGACTCCTGTGAGGACCTCTGGATGGTTCGAGGCCCACTTCCTCAGTGGAAATCCGCCCGCCATGCAGAGGTTGCGCAGCTCCGTCTGGAGGTTGACGGCATCGTCGAGGTTGTCCGCGCCGGTGACCACGTCGTCGACGTAGCAATCAAGCCGAAGTACTGTGGCACCTTGAGGAAACTGCGCTCCCTCGTCCGCACAAAGTTGTTGCAGAGTTCGGATGGCCAGGAACGGTGCACACGCCATGCCGTAGGTCACCGTCTGCAGCTCGTACTCTCCGATCTCGTCCGTCTTGTTGTGACGCCACAAGATTGTTTGGAGACGGCAGTCCTCAGGATGTACGAGGATTTGGCGGTACATCTTCTCGATGTCGGTGACGAAGACGTACCGGTGCCAACGCCATCGCAGCAACACGTCGGTGAGCGCTGGCAGAAGGTTTGCCCCAGTCAGCAGCTGCGAGTTGAGCGAAGTACCGGCCCGTGTGCGCTGAGAGCCGTTGAACACGACTCGGAGCTTTGTCGTCGTGCTCGATTCCTTCAGGACCCCGTGATGCGGTAAGTAGCATCTGAAATTCTCCGTTGTTGTTGAGGTATTTACCTTCTTCATGTGTTGCAGGTCCTCGTATTCCTGCATGAAGCCGTGATAGAGGTCGCCAAATCGAAGATCTCGGCTGCCCTTGGTCTCCATGGCTTTCAGTAGGTGCTCCGCTGGGCGGCGAGTATCCTGAAGAGTCGTCGGCGGCGATGAGAAGGGCAGCCTCACCATGTATCTCCCGGTGGGCGTGCGCGTGACGGTGCGCACGTAGAGTTCCTCGCACTGGTCTCGTCGGGAGTGAGTGAAGCCCGAGTTATCGGCTCGCTCTCCTGCTCCCAGAAGCGTCGAACGAAGTCGGCGAGGTCATGATCGGCGGTGCACCGGAAGGTGCGGCGATGTCCCGTGACTGCTGCTGCGTCGTAGCCGCCAGAAAGGATCCATCCCAGGCTGGTTTGCTGAGCGATCGGCATCCTTGATTCACCCTTGCGGAGGCCTTCCTCGAGGATCAAGGAATAGACCTCGGCTCCCAGTAGCAGCTCAGCTGGGTCGTCGTCTAAGAAGCGAGGATCGGCCAGTTGGAGTCCGTTGAGATGAGGCCAGCTGCGTTCTTCCCGCGAAACCGAGCCTTGCTGCAGCGATATGCGGGGCAGCACAAAGGCCACCACGCTGAGTTTGGCGTTGGTCACGTCTGACGTTACGTGCAGCGTGACCTTGCCACGAGCGGATCCCGAGCGAGTCCCTCCGATGCCGAAAATGGAGAGGCCCGTTGAGACTCGAGGAAGGCGAAGACGTTGTGCCAAGGTCTCCGAAATGATCGACACCTCAGAACATTGGTCGATCAAAGCGCGTACGGCTTGTGGTGATCCGTACCGATCGGCGACGTTTATTCGTGCTGTTGCAAGAAGAACGGCCTTGCACTCTGGATTTTGCAGCGTAGCGGTCAGTGTGGTGGCGCGTGTGGCTTCAGTTGACGCTGACGATGTGGGTGCTCCGTGTAACATCGTGTGGTGTCGTGCGTCGCATGTCAGACAGTTCTTCTTTGACTGGCAGCGAGAGAGAAAATGGTTGCCTAAGCAATTGTAACAGAGCCTGTTACTCTCGACAAATGCCTTGCGGTCGTTGACAGTCTTGGCCTTGAAATCTCGGCAGGTCATCAAGGTGTGCTTCTCGCGACACAGTGCACAGTGCGGCGACTCGGTTCCTTGGTGCTTCGTGACGTGTGCCTTGGCTACCCGTGGAGCATCTCCGGGCGGTTTGCTGGCGCTCTTCGGTCGTGCGGCATTGAGCGTCAGGATCCGCGGCTGATGAAGTCCACAAGTGCCTCGTTTTGTGCCGGCTCTGATGAGTCTGACGTGGACGACTCCCACTCAAGACGTGTGCGTGCATCAAACAGCTCGGTGACCAGGAAGTTGAAGAGGTCCATTCCGTGGGTGTTGATTGGACGTCCGATGCTCTCCTGACCATTGACGGCGGCAGTAACGGCGTTGTGAATGCGTCTCAATTCTTCTGCGGTATCTCCCTTCATCTTCGGCACGGCGATGAACGTGGCGAAGTTGGAGCGGATCAATTCCTTTTTGTTGTTGTAGTGTTTGTCCAGAATCGCCCAAGCGCGATCGTAATTGTCGCTGGTGACAGGCAATGACCTTATTAACCTTTCAGCTTGCCCCGTCAGACATGAGCGCAGGTGGTGAAAGCGCTCGATGTTGGAGATCGCATTGCCACTCACGACGGAGAGAAAGAGATCTCGGAACGACGGCCAATCGGCGTAGGCACCAGAAAATGGCGGCACTTTGATACGCGGCAGTGATGACCTTGACGTGGCGTCGGCAGAAGGAGGTACGTTTGCTGCACGATAGTGTTCAGCGTAGCTGTCTAGTATGCTTCGTTGTGACACGTAGAGATTCTCCGTATCAGCATGCAACTCTGATTTAAAGTACTCGCTCTCACTGAACCTTTCCTTCAAGGCCGCACGGATAAGGTCATGCTGCGCCTCGAACTTTGTCCACAGCTGATCCAGAATTCTGGTGCGTGTGGAGATAGCACTGGCGGTGATATTGGAGCTGCCCAGCTTCTTCAAGTACTCCACAGAACGTGAGATGCGGACTTGAAGCTCACGCTGACAGTCAACCAGCGTGGGTACATCCATGATGACTGCACACGAAACTGCACTACTGTCACTCACGCGAGAAGCCGCGCTCGCGAACTTGCGGTTGCCGGTGCGACGGCTCCGGCTCGAAGGACCAAAAATATGTTCACGAACGCGCTGCTTGAGCAAAGGATCGCGCTGCACGAAAGGATGAGTCACTTTTTTGTAAAACAAGGACTTTAATAATATCACACACGTATTGACAAAATACTATAACAAACTTATTACAAAACTTTAATTATTTTACAGTGAAATCGGAATCAAAATCAAAGTGCGGAATAGCGGCGGTCGTCAACGAATTTTGCGGTGTATCTGATAAGCGGTTTGCGATATGTTTTCACGACGGAAAAGCGATAAAGCTGTGATTTCGGGTGCGAGCTCTCTTTTATGGGTTTCCGCAAAAAACCCACCTTTTCGGGAAGCGCCAATAATTTTGCGTCTTTTTAAAGTTGCGCGAGGTGACCTGAGTGTATTACGCGTAATTGGCCGCTGTCAAAATTGACAGAACAACGGCTGTTAGAAAGCATGCGCGAGCTGGCGATCACGATGATTATTGGCGAAACGAGGCGCCCGTGAGAAGCCGCGCATGCTCAATAAAATATAATTATTCGGCAGAACGGTTGCGACACCGTTAATTGTTTAGATTTCGAGCGTGTTTTTGTACGACAGGATAATTTATGTCGCGATATGTTTTCAAAAAAAAAAACATATAAAAACGATATGCCTGTTGACTTGCGATCGGAAGCGAATATTCTAGAATATTCTATTTAAGATATAATATTTTATTACATGTAGTTTCTATTATGCGTTTCAAACAGTCATGCTATCAAGTGCTTCCGACATTCTCAGTTTAAGTGCCGAACAGTTACAATATATTCCGAAGATTGTTTTACTACAAAAGTGCGGATATTTCGTAGAGCATTTGTGGGACAAGCTTCCAGAGCATATCAAGACGGATCCGGAGGTTCAGACATATCGTCGCTGCCTCGAACACTACAATCAGCCGTGGATGCGAACGCATATTGACGGTCCAGCACCGATGATCAGGGATTGCAGCGAATGTCAGCGAAAATAGGCTGAGGTTAAAAGTGTGAAAAAGTGCCAGACATAAAAAATGGAGAACATTGAGCGCGACCTGTTGGAGCGTTCCCGCTAAGTCGGCACCTTGGGCGAATATTTCGGATGGCTGCAAGAGTGCGAAGAATTTATCGAAGAGCTGGAAGAACGCAGCCGTGCCAAGCGTCCGCGTCTCTCAATTGGACATAGGCAATCTCTCGTGGCGAGAATAGCGCGACTCGAGGGTGCGAAGTGCGCTTGCAGAGACAGTATGTCGGTGAATCCATGTTTAGTGGTGGATCCATACCTAGTGGCAGCGGCGGCGGCAATAACGCGCAAAGACTCGTTTGGCGCGAGATCGATACGGCGTTCGATAGCCGTATACTTACCGGTGCGGTAATTAACGTCGACTATATCGAACCGCGTCAGTTTTTGGAAAATGCAGCAGACATTGTAATCGAGAACGTGGAGAATGTGCTGCAGAGACACATCAGTGTAAAAGTGAACACTGTTTTCAACGGCGAATTTGTGTCCGGTGACAAGCGTGCCAATAAAAGTATCAATACGAGAAACTTTGAACTCTTTCGCACGTCCGATGTACGCGAATGGTACGAGCGCCGCGTAATCGAGCCCACGCTAGCATCGCTAGAAGAGTTCCAGGAACGCGATAGCGGCTGGGCATTGTCGCGGATAATAGATTTGACAGTAAATATCAACAAGTATAATCCTATGCGCGCTGGATGCCATGTCAAATTACCGCAAAAAATTATGGTAAAAAGTGCGGTTGTTAATGTGCTATCAGCGGACAATGCGTGTTTCGCATGGTCAGTGGTAGCCGCTCTGTACCCCGCTGAAAGACATATGAAACGAGAATCCTCCTATCCGCATTACACCACAGTGCTGAATCTCCAAAACATTGAGTTTCCAGTGACTGTGAATCAAATTAAAAAATTCGAACTTGCAAACGACATCTCCGTAAACGTATACATCATCGACAACGAGAACATTGTCCCGCTACGTCTTTCGGAAAAAAAGAAGGACAGACACGTCAATCTGCTGTACGTGGAAGACAAAAACAGCGTCGGGCATTTTGTTTTGATAAAAAATCTGTCTCGCCTCGTGAGCTCGCAACTGAGCAAAAAGAAATGTAAAAAATTTATATGCGATCGGTAAGTATATATATATTTATTACACGTAAATTATATTTTAATTAAATTTTCATTAAATTTTTTATTTTTTACAGATGCCTACATTATTTCGGAGCGGTGGATAAATTGCAGGCGCATATGGAAGATTGTGGGAAATTGAACGACTGCGCTATTCGGTTGCCGAGCGACAAGGACAAGTGGCTCAGCTTCGACAACTACACGAGGAAGGAGCGGCTGCCGTTTGTAGTGTACGCCGACCTCGAGTGTGTTTTGGCAAAGACCGAAGATGCCAAAAATTATCAACACCATCAAGTGTTCAGCATCGCGTACTATGTACAGTGTTCGTACGACAGTTCGTTGTCCACATACAATTCCCACCGTAGTGTCGATTGCGTCGCATGGTTCGCCGAACAGCTTAAAAATTTAGCAATCCGCGTAAAAAATATTTTAACAACCAATGTCCCCATGGTAAATTTAACGCCTGACGAGTGGTTAAAATTTCGCACCGCGACACATTGTCACATTTGTGAAAAACCGTTTGACGAAGACGATACACGCGTCCGTGATCATTGCCACCTCACCGGGCGGTACAGGGGTCCTGCGCATTCAAATTGTAACTTAAATTACAAAGAATCATTTTGTATCCCTATAGTCTTTCACAATCTGTCTGGCTACGACGCACATTTTATTATCGAGGACATAGCCACAGCGTTCGAAGGGGAAATCGAATTACTGCCGATAACAAAGGAAAAATACATTTCATTCTCGAAGACTGTTAGATTGACACAAGATAATAATTCAAA